AGAACATTTAGATCTTATACTGGAGAAAAAGAGCACAAAATTCTCCTCAGAAAAATGAATTATCTGCTGTAAATTAATTTTATTATGTAACCCTTGATACATAATGTGGTCCTTTTTTTCCTAAGAGGGGCAAAGAAGAAACAAACAGATTCTTCTGAGATGAGATCAACATTAATGGGAACAAAAAGCACTGCAGAATAAGGCACAGTCAATGCTAAATGGTTGTGAGGGGTTTTATAACATCATTTATTTAATTTGTTCTCTCAAATCCATATTGACATAGATGCTGCTAAAGTCTAAATGGTTGAAGCAGAATACCCTTCCCAAGTCAAAACCAAAATTGTCTGTAAAGTTCAACAAAGAGAGTAAAAATATCTGCTATTAGCATGCATTTAGCCTTAAATTAAATGCACTTCCACAATTTCAGGAAAGTTTTGGTCAGCCAAGACCAGAGAAGTTGCCACCAGAATTTTTCTGAGAGTTCCTCTAGAGGACATCCATGTTCTCAAAAGTGCAAATCATAAAATTTAATTAGATTTTACATGTACTATAGTCACTGATAAAACAAGCTCGGGCCAGTTCAAGTGAGCCTCCGTATGCTTGACTTCAAGAACTAGTGCTGCCAGTGTCCTTGGTGGAACACAATGCCTGTCGCCTGTTGTTACTGACACCCTACAACACACTCATTTGGTTCACCAGGACTTGAATGAGAATTCTGATATAACCGTTAGCAAGTGAATTAAGCCCTGACCTCTCTACTCTCATTCCATTGCTCAGTATTACCATCCGTCAGCCTGTACAGAGATACACTGTTTTTTTTCTGGTAAACGAAGTCAGCAGTTGCTTTCTGGCTCCATTCAGTGGTGTTTGCAAACCAGCCCAGAAAGACACAACCACTTTGGTATCACTTCCAATGTCTGGTGTAACTCCGGTAATGATATTACTGCTCTTTTACTCCTCATAGTCTCCTGCAGTGGCTAGGCTGTCCTTCAGCTTTCCCACCACACATCCTGCAACTGTTTGCATCTAAAGGTGTCAAACTTATCAAGGAACTTCTCTTTGTTTTTTTCTCTCCAGATGTAACAGCTCCTCCTGACCTTTATTTTTTTATTATTTCTTTATTTTTAAATACATTTATTTATTTTTGTTTATCCTCACCCCCTGGTTTCATTCCTCTTGTCACCTCTGCTATTTCATGTCCATTCTACCATAACAGTGCCTGTCAGCACAGCTTGTGGCACACCTCCTAGCAGCTAGGAGCTCGTAAGGACTTCAGTATATATGCTTTCCCTCTAGCCCTCAGATCTCTAGCCAAATAACCCACAATTAGCCAGAAAAACCTTCTAGGAGATAGAATACACATTTTTTCAAAGATAAAATGGAGAATGCTATATTCTATTGAAATGGAAAGTGTCGTTACTTTATCATGATAGTATCTAAAGGTGTTACTTTCTCCTTTGTGTATTGCCTTTACTTGATACAGTCATTATATCCTAGTGCTTTTGTGAAGCTTGAATTTGAATTACTTTTCATTCTTGAAGGGTATAGCCCCTCCAGATTAGATCAACACTTGCCATGTTAAACTGAAGAGCAGACTTCAGCTTCTAATGCTGTTTGTACCCAGTGACAGTTATTACCAGTTTCTTCATTAAAGGAAGAAAATAGTCAAAACAAGTACATTTAATTCATCTCTTTACAAATGCTGACAAGCTTTTCCTCTATTAGGAGCAAGTGTTAGATAATACATGATCAATATTGCACAATAAAAATGCATTCTGTAACATTATTGTTGGAGTTTTAACAAAGTAGAATTACATTCTTTACAGAATAAGCAAAATTCTCCTTATAAGTAAATGTTATTTAATTTCACTGTGCAAGGCCACCATACCTGCAAAGCCACAGCATGAGTAGCACTGCACTAAATAAATTTATTGTAGCCATTTGCATGGTTCTGTGTGTGTGTGTGTATGTGTGTGTCTGTGGGTGTATGTGTGCGCACACTCACGTATATGCTCATGGTAATAGTTGATCTCTCCTTGCACCCAAGGGATTCTTTAGGAGGAGTCAGCAGAACAATGCATCCTACTCCTGCCCAAGACAGAGAAACTGTTTAATTGACAGAACCAACAGAAATCGTTGCCAACACTGCCGACTGCAGAAATGCCTTGCCCTGGGAATGTCTCGAGATGGTAAGGAGTAAAATTTGTGCTTCATACCTAAGCCCTTTGAAACTCTTCTTCACTTCTGACTTATTTAAATTCCCTGTAGATTTCTGCAAAAAGAGAGAGGAGAAACTTCTTGCTTTGTAGTGCATGCACTGTGAGATGATCTTTTCCATTTTGTTAACAAGAGGCTAATTTCATGGAAAGGGTGGGGAAATCACAAAATGGAGAGCAGTATTAGTTTGAAACAGAAGGAATCAGAAGCGAAATATGTGATTTTGGTCAAAAGCACAAAGCACAGATAGGTCAGCTCTGGAGAGGTGGGTTTATATTAAGCATTATATTAAACATTACCATTTTTTTTGACATTAAATATTGTTGTGTGAAAGCATACCTTTCCTTGAGATCTCTAAGGGTCTGTGCCAGTAACTAGGCAGTTAAACAGAAATTTACACCTTGATAGCATTAGAGCTTTCTGTTTGTTTTATTCAGAGCACTTAACCAAATATTTTGGAGTGGGAAAAAAAACAACCTTTCTTTTACCTGCACACTGCCTCCTGTCCCTGTCTGGGTCTATAAAGGAAACATTTCCTAATTAGGCGCTGAAAATGGACCCTTTGCCAGAGGAAAGCTCAACAGTGTATCCCATCTCAGGATCCTATGGTCCTTGAAGAGCTCTGGTCCACCTTCCAAGCTGTGGTGTGATGAGCCAAGATTGCATCTGAGAATATGCATCACAACAAAGCTGCAGGTAGTGGGAGGCTTTGGCAAGACTGCCCACAATTTACTTCCCCCAGCCACCACTCCTCATGCAGGGGGTTTCCAGTTTACAGGCATGTTTTAAATAGTCAGAAAATATAAGAAGAAAATGTTCTCTTTTTTTGAAGGCAAGTTATAATAATTTCATTTGCCTGAAAGCAGTTTTCTATCTTAAAAACTTTACACAAAATATGTATTTTGAAATTACCAGTCATTGATGGAGAAATTATCTGAAGAACTATTTCTTTAGATGGTCCACAGATTATAAACTTGTTTTAAATTTGGACCATAGTAGGTCTTCTTTTACCACAATGTATCTCAAGTCTCACTGAAATGACTTGCTCTCCAGTCTCACAAATCTGGGAGGAGCCATGCAGTCTGGCCTTTAATCCATTAATTCTTTTTGGTCCTAGCATCCAATTTACTTGACACCTTAGCTCCTAATTCTTCACAGCAATTAAAGTAGTAACATTTCAGTAATTTAACAGCACATGATTTCCTCCTAGAAGTATTATCTTCCAGTGATTTAAGGTATCACAAGGGTATTTTAGTGTGACAGACAGCACTGTCTTCCCAAGAGTAATCTGGGGATCACTGCATACAGACAAAGCGAGTGATTCGTCCAAAAGCTTCGCTTTATTCTCTCGTAGTTTATGTAAGAGTGTTTAGAAGTAACAATATAAATAGCTCTTGCAAATTTAAAATAGGGTGTATGAATTTTTTAACAGAAAAACTGAATGTGATTTTAACCTCTCAGACATGTAATAGATTCATTTTTATCATGCAAAGGCAGGATGCTAATTGACAGCAGCTGGAGAATCCAATTAATGAATATATAATCAGGATAAACAGTGGGTATTTGTTTTTATTACCGAGGCCCTAAATTTGAAGAAAATACACAATTGCATTATTCAAAATACAGTCACTGTATATGTCCATAAGGATATGCAATGCACCACGGACCGATTGCAGGAGCAGGCTGAGTTCGTGTGAGGAAGCTTGCAGCCTCAGTGAAGGACTGCAGGTAAACTGAAGTTGGCAATAAGAAGCAATTTTACACCCTCTTGGTGTAACAAAAAAGTGAAAAGAAAGGGAAAAGGCTGCCATCTTCTTGTTCTGTCACTTTATTTTCATATTATGCTTTTCTTTTTCCTGATTGAAGAATTTCACATTTATCCATGTGTCAGCTCAAACTCCTCTTGAGAGCTAAAAGAGAGTCCTGTGCTATTAGCCATCCTGTGCTAGTAAATGTGGGGATTCTGAATTGATCCCATTTTGAGATGGACTGGAAATACACAGTGTGAAAATACACCTCATAATAAGTAGAAATGTGTGGTTTTGGAGCAATGTCCTTTCACCTGTGTTCTGACTAATTCTGCTGAATGTGTCCCTTATTTGTTTTAGAGCACAATGAACAACTATCTCTGCTCTAAGATCCCAAGATCTAGCCCAGTAGAATATCAGAATTTATAGAGACATGGTGTGGTGGGGAGTGAGTGGAAAGATAGTCAGCTATGATCTACTGTATATGCAGGCTGTGTCTTTACTCCTTCTGTTCCGTAGCACTCAGCCTGTCATTTTTGAAAATTTCAATCTCAGTGTAATGAACCCTGTTTCTGGGGAAAGTGTTTTGTCCTCTGATGTTTTCCTCCCTTTCTCATAAGAAGGAGTACGTGATTTGTGCACTGACATTATGTAAATTGATTGTGTAAATCCCTAAGATTTCCTCTGTGGAAAAGATAACGTTTTGTTATTTTCCTCTAAGTTCTAACTCTAACCTGTAAGATTATTCTTTTTAAAGTGTGAAGATAACACCCCATTCCAAGGATGTGATAATAAGGCTTTAAGGCTCGTTTTCATACAGAGTACTAATCTTAGTAGTGTACTGTTTAAAGGTTTGTGAAAAGTTAGTAAATCACATAGGATATGAATCTACATACTGTAAATTCATACAGCTCTAGGTTGTTGTTCGGTGAACACAAAGATATAAAAGGATGCATAGTCTTTTTAACATTCTCAGTGGGATGTAAGTTGTTTGACTGAGGGCCTCCTGTCAAATAAGAGTCGTCAGTTTGTAAGTTCAAGCACTTAATACTGTTTCCTTTATGAGACGCATATGGTGTAAAGCTTTGCATCCTTTCTCATTTTCACAGAAAAAGATGTTTCCACGGCAAAATTAACCCTGAAAGTAAATATAAAAGTGAGGGGGTTGAGGGCAATCAAGAAAAACTTGTGCTTTGCTTTTCAGCTGTGAAATCGTGCTTTGCTTTTCAGCTGTGAAATTTGGAAGAATGTCCAAAAAGCAGAGGGATAGCTTGTACGCTGAAGTGCAGAAGCACCAGCAGCGACTACAGGAACAGCGGCAGCAGCAAAGTGGTGAGGCAGAAGCCCTCGCCAGGGTTTACAGCAACGGCATCAGCAATGGCTTGAACAACCTGAATAACGAAACTGGCAGCACCTACTCAAATGGGCATGTCATCGATCTGCCGAAGTCTGAGGGTTATTATAATGTGGATTCTGCCCAGCCCTCCCCAGACCAGTCTGGATTAGACATGACTGGAATCAAACAGATAAAGCAGGAACCTCTCTATGACCTCACCTCTGTACCAAACTTGTTTACCTACAGCTCTTTCAACAACGGGCAATTAGCACCAGGGATATCCATGAGTGAAATAGGTAAGAAAAATTCCTGTTCCTGTAGTGCAATGTGTACATATAAGCTAAGCTCCAGTGCTGTCTTTATTGAAATGTTATATAGCCATTCCATACACAGGTACACAATAATTACATGTTCACATGTGCGTGTATGTGCACACACATACAGAGAGTAAAGCAAAGAAAATCAGTCTGGCACTAATTGACATAATATTAAGACAGGTCTGTCTTTACCAAAATCTGCAAAATATACAGTTTCTTAAACCCAGTACTTCATGTTCTGTTTATGAAATAGAAGCATCAAAGCAGGTGACGAATCAATCATAACCAAGTGATAATTAGGAGTGGGGAGCTTGTTTCAAATGAGCTCATTACTAGCAGGGTTAAGTGATCTCTTCAGCCAACCATCTGTATTCTTGTCAACACCCAGAATCCCCATGGCAGCTAATTCTGGGATATTTACTGTGAAAAATACCAGCTTGCTACTTCTAGTGCACGGATGTCAATGCAGACCACGTTCACTGAATTTGTGAAGTGCACAGACTCTGAATGTAGTTGCTTGGATATTCCTGCTCTGCCTGAACGCCTTGGAGAACCTGTCTCTTGATTTCATCTTTGAAAAGTGGCAAAGAGACCTCTCTGTGAGATGCGACTGTTTGAAAGACAACAGCTAACCGTGATTCTTCTCTAAGGAGGATTTCTGTTCATCTAATGCTTCTAGCTGTACTTCTCCAAAGCCATTGGAGGAACTGCTTCTATTATAAAGAAATAACATGAAAGAAGATTGGCATCCTAATTAGGTACCACAACAAGTGAAATATGCTGCATCAGTTGTGGTTGAGAATATAATCAAAGGGTAACAATTTGTTAATGGAATTTAATTAAAAAGAAAGAAGAAGAAGGAAAAAAGAAATCGTATTCAAGAGCACTCTTAACAACCTAATTATTTTCACATCATAAAATCCCTCTGTAGTTTTGACCTGACCTTGCTGCCTCATGGATGTACACCTACATCTGTAAATTTATGTGTGTACTCAGACCTACTGAGAACCCTGGAGATGTGGCCTCCACTCAATATAGATTGCAGTAATGATGTATACAGTAGTTACTGTCTGATAAAAAAATGAAGTTGCAGTTAGAATCTGTAGTATGTTTTCTGCCCATGCATGTTCATGTGCAGGAGGATATATAACACATTGTGTACTTTAGTTGCAAATCGTGCACTAGAAAGTTATGTTTTTCTGCCACTCTGTTTATTAGGACATGTTTTACTATCACATTTGGCCTAGGACTGTCCAGTGAAGTCCTACACCGATAGCATAGAGTTAGCGAGGAATGTCTGCACCAACTTCCCTCTCAGCTTTTGTGGTTGTATGAATATTACTTACATGTGGCTTGTGCACACCTCAGTCCTGCAACAGAGGATCACAGTACTGCAAACCAGCTGAGAGGCAATTTAAACCATACTTAAGAGCTGTTTCCCTTCATCCCCCATACCAAAGGGAAATGTTTCCAGAGACTCAGAGGAGGTCTAGAAATGTGACAGTTCTGATAGTCCGTGGGTTATGGTTTGTGCTCAGTTACAGAAATGAGCCCAAATAGAGAATATATCCTTAGTGGTTAAGGGATCTCACTGAAGGCAATGAGTTCTTTTCACTCATGAAGCTTTAGAGAATCATTTAAATTTTATCTCTTGCTGATTCTCTTAGAAATAACTTACCATTCTTAAATTTTCACCAGTTTTTTTGCTCTTCGAGCCCTAAACCAACTCCACATTTTCCAGTCTTTCATCTTGTGTGTTATCTAACAAGTGCTCACCTTCTCAAGCACATAAAGCAGGAGATAGGAAAGAGCCTGTCTCTGAGCTGACAGCAAAATTCAGATGCTCTGGGATTTATCTCTTTTCCTTTTGAAATTGAAACTGGGGCTCCTAAATTGCTAGGATTTTACCCATGTACTGCTGCCTGTCATTTGTGGCACCTACAGCAGACGGATAAGTGTGACAGTGAGAGGTCTGTAGTATAACAAATCAGCTGACACAACTTAAAAAATAGAAGAGATATACCATAAAATACTGGGATTAGTGCACAGGCAAGTGATATTTTCAGTGCTTAAAAACAAACAAAAAGTGCCTGCCTCAGTGCTACAGCGGATTGTTGGACCATCTGTAAAACTGAGTCTTGCAGTCAAAGCAGGAAAACTTTAAGCACTGGGATGCATTGATTTCATATTATAGTGTTCTTAAATTTCACTGCAGAATTGTATCTTACTCCAGTAAGATTTGGAATAAACTCAACTCATTCTAAATAGAAGTTACGCCTTAACTGTTAAAAGAAATCATAGAGAATATATAGGAGGCATAAAAGCTATACTGCATTGATTCTTGTGCCTGATAGAAGTTTCTTTGTACCATCATACCTTGTGATACACTAAAACACTGAATACCCCAGATCTTGTTGGTTTTTTTCTGCACTGATTATTTTCTGATTAATTTCCAGTCTTAGTTTTCTTCTGGTCTTTTAATTCTTCAAAGACATATATATATATATATATATATATATATATTTAAGCACAACCTCACTTGTCACTTGCCTGATCTTGAGTGCAACCATCCTAATTTTTCCCTCATAAATGAATGTGTGGGATTCCTTTCATCCTTGAGCTTCTAAAAGTTGCTGCAAGCTCTCCAAGGGACAGACTTCTTCACAGGCAGCCCAGAGCAAAAGTAGTCTTTGCAGCTTCTGCATCTCATGTCAAGCAATATCCCGTTCAATTACTCCTTTGGTGTTAATGCTTAGCTTGTTTCAAACTCACTTCTCTCCAGTTTTTATTAAGATATAATTGACTGCACATTTCCAAGTTTGAATCTCATTTTCTCTTTCTTATTTTTCTAACCTTTTCAATCCTATTACATTATGTCTCAGTCTTCACTGATGCTTTGTGACTTCTTTCAATTTAGAATTATCTCTTTATTTAATTAGCATGCTATGAACCTTCTCTTTCAGATTATTATGAAAATGTTAAATGCTTGTAAAACAAGCCCTAACAATGGTCCCTGCTGACTAAAAACTTGCTGTAATTGCATATATTACTTTAGTATTTATATTTTGCTTGCTATCCAACAGTAAGTTCTCTGAAAAATCCAAGTAACAAGTCTTCCTTTCCCTGTCAGTTTGATTCAGTTATAAAAATAATATTTTCTAAGATACTCTATAATGTAATTTGCACATCACTTGCATTCTTTTCTTCACATGTTAATTTTCTAGTTCCACCAAAAAGTAATCTAAATGGTTAGAGCTACTTTGATCTTTAACAGTTCTATGCTTTAATTTGAATGTGAAAGTGTTCTTTTTCCCAAATGTACATTCATCTACAGAAGACTTTGTAGTGGAAATGGAAATTGTTCAACTTAACAGTTTTGAAATTCAAAATTTTTTGCACAGCAACTGTTTCAACGCACAGTATTAGAATGGAACAGCAAGAAAAATATAGCATATCTTGCACTGCATGCTTACTAGTATCTCTATATACTGTGCTAGCAAGTGGGGTTTCTGTAGGAGTAAGACGTGCTGACAAGTTGAAGTTATATAGAGCTCTGTCACACATATTTAGTACTCTTATATCCCTTCAAATGATTTAAATAGTCCTGGGTACAACTGCACATTGTCTGATCACTGTAAGAAGCAGGATAGGAAATGTCTCCTATGAAAAAGAATCTTAAGTATGACAAAAAATTATTTTCAGACAGAGACACAAATTTCTCATGTCAGAGCTTATGATGGAGAAATGTTGTATAAAATCAGGTAGTTTCCCATTTCCTATTAGAAAAAGAAACTCAAAGCATAAAGAAATCAGTCCAAAGCTCATAAATAAACATATAGTATCAGAGCATCAGCTTGGCATCACCTGCATTTCCAGGTCAGCTCCTTTTTCTTAAAAGAGAAGTATTTTTGTCCTTAACTCAAGGCATTTTGTTGGAGACTTAATATGGAGTTGGGTGTACAGACCACAAAGTAGGTCAGATGCAGTGACCAGATGAGTTGGGCAGGTTCTTTCTCTGCTTGTCCTGCTGTCCATGGGTGGCATGATCCAGGTGTGTTCCATCAGGCAGTGACACTGCCAGCAAGGGAGACACCCATGTCCTAAGGGTGGGTGCTACCAGGAACCTCACAGCACGGTCCTGTTTCTCCCTGACCACTGTGGCATCTGCACATCTGGGAAGGCAGAAATTTCTCATATTGTAGGGACTTCAATCCGGGAGATGAAATCTTCTTGTTGTATCAAAAGCAAGAATTTGATCATTTGCAGAATGGCTTTCTCCTCACACAATTCACGGAGGTCAGCTGGTACCGGGAAATTCTAAAGTGAGAAGGAAGCTCCAGTTCCTGATAGCAATGCTTGCTCCCAAGTGTGATTTTAAATTAGCAGGTATTAAAGACTTATTTTTAGACTTGATGAAATAAAGACCATCTTGTTTAAATATATGTGCATAATATTATCTATCAGTGAGCCGAACATTGCATTTTCCTCACTAAAGATGTGGCTCCAGTCTTGATCTGTAAAAGGTATTGGAAGGGCTTCCCTGCCCTAACTGCAGTTGAGATTACAAGACTATAATTTCTTAGAGACAAGATAAAACTATTAGCGAACACTGTTGTGGAGAAAATAAATTGGGTAAGGCTTTACTCCAGGTCAAATTGAAGAATGCCTTATTGCTGTGTATATTTAGGTAGTCAGTAAGGAACCACAAGAACATAAAGGAGGTCACATAGCCCAGCCTCTATAATCACAGAAAAATGGGTTTACATAGATTTACATGATGTTTCTTCAACATCAGGGCTATTTGAAGGTACGCAAG